TGACCGACTGGCACCTTAACAACCTAAAGAAACAGGTTTTAACAGATTAAAAGTGAACAAAACCAGTTAACAGTGCACAGACAGAAAGGAAACGTATCTAACTGGCATTTATTCCACCCCAGAGCGTGCACTCCTCTGGATTCAGAGTCCAAGACACTTGCTGGCATGGGCGCACTTGAAGGGCTGCAGCTGGAATGGAGACACCGACTGGCACCTTAACAACCTAAAGAAACAGGTTTTAACAGATTAAAAGTGAACAAAACCAGTTAACAGTGCACAGACAGAAAGGAAACGTATCTAACTGGCATTTATTCCACCCCAGAGCGTGCACTCCTCTGGATTCAGAGTCCAAGACACTTGCTGGCATGGGCGCACTTGAAGGGCTGCAGCTGGAATGGAGACAGTGCTGGGCAGGTTCTGTGTGTTAGTCCAAGGTGAGCAACCAGCTGCAAAATCCCTCTGCCAAATGCCAGCAGCTCTGGTTCCCTGGGCAGATCACTCTGCCTCTCATTACACCCAGAGTCAGTTTGTCTTTTGTGCTCCGTCCCAGGCAGCACTTTTCCAAACAGCCCAGTTACTCACAGTCACCTCCTGTGCAGGGTTATGTAGGCCCCTCTCAGCCACAGGCACAGCCAGAGTCTTTCCGCTCTAGGGACAATCGGCAGCCTCTGAAGCAGCCTGCTAGATACAAGTCCCACAGGTTGCCAGTCACAGGCTCTAGCTGCAGTACATCTCCTGGACTGGAAAAGATTCCTCCATAGCAGCCTGGCTCCTCTCTCCCAACATGGAGACTCCTCACCCTCTGTCTGTATAGCCTGGAAGAGACACCGTTCCTCCTTTTTCCCAAGGGCTCATGGGAGTTGTAGTCTCAGGGTTAGATTGCAGCACAAAGGATCCTCCAGTACAGTGTTTCTCAAACTGTGCTCCGTGGAGCCCCAGGGCTCTGCGAGGTTGACAAATGGGAAACTTCAATAGGTACAACACATACAATCAGTGGCCCGCTGGAGCTCCGCATAAATGTTTACGCATGTAAAGAGCTCCGGAGCCCGAAAAGTTTGAGAACCGCTGTTCCAGTAAAAGTCACAGGCCTCTTTAGTAAGGGGACTACACAAGCTTCCAGAATCCAGTCACCACTCACTTCTCTGCTGTCAATGCAGCTCTCGTTCTGGCATCCCTGTGAGAGAGGGCTGGGGCGAGTTGAGCACATAAATTGAGGAAAGTGGCCTTTTGCATTCGAAAGTTTTGCTGCCGTCGCTCAACATCCAAAACCTGCATTACAAAGTGATCCCACCATCACTGTTTGTTCCTAGGGCCCTGAAGCTGTGCTCCACTATCCGCAACTACCCCATGGATGCCATCACAGACTTGAATTGTTTTTATTTTATTTTGCTTTCGTTCTGTCCTCCAAGAAATTGTCACGTCACTTGTGGTTGTACTGCCTGCCTGTCTGCAAAGACAGAAGGAATTGTGCATTGTCTTTGCACTGTTCACTGCGGGCTCCATGCCTCTGTCAGAGATGGGGCACCGAGGCATGTGCCAAAGTGCACCACAATAGAAAAAACAAACCTAGTTCTGGGGGCTCTGCTAATCAGCTGGGCAGCACTGGGATCTCTCCCGAGCGGCTGTAGAAGTGCCCAGCTTACAGGGTATGCTGATCGTCACTGCATTTCGCTCTTTGCAGGCTGTCTGCTTTGGACTGGGTGCTTGGTAGCCTGGCTTTAAGCAGCTGATTCTTGCTTGAAAAACTGGATGCTCAGTAACAAAAAAGGGACTATTATATATATTTGTTACAAAACCGTTTGCGATTGAAAAAAAACACGACGCCTCCTCCTCTGCGTCCTAGGCTGACCTGGAGCAAGCGTCCTTCTGCTGGATTTGAGCAATGGCAGTGCAGTAATAGCCGCGCCTTCCTTCTCAGGAGCACGGAGCCTGCCAACCTCTGCACGATTCTCGTGAACGGTGCAAAGGCAGGATGCACGACCCACAGGCCGTACAACCGCGAGCGACGTGACAGTTGCTTGGAGGACAGAAAAATGCCCCTCAGCAAAGCAAACCAACAGTTCATCTGGTGGCGGAATGCCAAAATAAAAGACAAAAATGGTGGGATATGGATGGCATATTATGGGATGGAGAAAATTACTTGAACTTGACCCCTCACTCTCAGAGCCCCACCCCATGTACCCCATACCTGCACCCCCACCCCATGCACCCCACCACCCCCCAGGCTCCCCCAGCCCCTCTGTCCCGGCTCCTCCCCCCCC